CGACATGCTCACCTGCAAGCATGACACACCCCTCTGTGAGCATGACACACCCACCCGCAAGCACGGGGAGGCCCCCGCCCCCAACCAGTCCGTGCATGGAGCCCGCACCCCCCCCAAACGGTCCATGGACCAAAAACAGTTGGGTACCGCTGCCCTTTTTCCATAGGGTGACCTGAGCTTTCACAGGAACGCCAACCACATCAGACGGATAATCCCCCAGAGCATTCAGGAAACCATCCGGATCCATTAGTCTCTGAGGACGGTTCATCTTAATAGATCCCCCATCCTTACAGAGGGGCGATGAAACTAATAGACTAAACTTGACCAGGAAGTGGTCTGACCATGACAATGGGGTCACTACCAGATCCTCCATATCCAGACCCCCATCCTCCAGTCCCATTGAGAAAACCAGGTCCAAGGTATGGCCCTTCTCATGTTTCAGGCTGATGACACATTGAGACAGCCCCATGGTTGTCATGGAGGCCATGAAGTCCTGAGCCACCCCAGTCAAGGCAGGCTTGGCATGGATGTTGAGGTCCCCCAGCACCAACAACCTGGGAGTCCTCAAGACCAGTTCTGAGACTACCTCCGTCAGCTCAGGCAGGGAGACAGTTGGTACACAGCAGGGTGGGCGGTACACCAACAGAATCCCCAATCTGTCTCGTAAGTCCAACAAACAATACAGGTCCTCAAGACCTCCTATCAAAGGGATAGGAAACCTGGTCAAAGAGATAGAAGTCCTATAGACTATAGCAACTCCCCCTCCCCGACCCTCCAAGCGACACTGATGCTGGACCGAGTACCCAGGCAGACACAGCTGAGAGAGGGGAACACCACCCTCCTCTCCCATCCAGGTCTCAGTAATGCACGCCAGGTCAGCACCCTCATCCAGAATTACATCATGGATGAGGGCAGCCTTATTTTGTACTGACCTGGCATTCATCAACAGCACCTTGTGGCTTGAGGGTTTGCTGATATGGTCACCTGATACCATCTGGTTGGGGATAGGACTAGAAGAGGGGATAGATGCAAGATATCTAACCTCTCTTCTCTGACGTGGGCATGTTCTACCCCCACTGCCATTCCTTCCCCTACCCAGTACCACCTCAATGACTGTCCCTTTCAATGCCTTCCCCCCTTCCTGTTCCCTCAGATCCACTGTGGGTCTCTATGTATGTATGTAACCTGATGGCAACTGGTAATCACAATAAAAACCCCTTCTAAAGCCTCTTCTCCCCCCACAAGCCAGATGGCTGATGTTGTGGAGGGGGTGGGGCAGCCAGAGGCAGCGAGGGCCCAGTCCCGCAAGGCCGAGGGAGTCCAAGCCAAACTGCCCCAGGAAGGCCGACAACCGGCAGCAGCACAGCCACACTGTCTCTCACTCAGTGCCCGAGGGATTGTGATGTTAAAACAAATGGGAACATTCACCCTGGTATATATAACACATGGCTGCAATTCAGTACAACAGAGTTATAGAAAAAATAGTTAGAACTGTGATACATTTGGCTGGTGTGATCAGGTCCTTAATTCTGTTTTCCTTTAAAGATACACAAACCCCATCCACTTAAGGCCACTTAAGGTACAGTCAAATATCTATATCTAAATTCTAATTTGTACATGACATAGGCAGGTTTATTGGAGGTTTATTACAGCCATTATTATACAAATAATAATTATACAAATAATAAACGAGATGGGATCAGTTGCAGCCATGCATTATATGTACCAGTGGTGCCAAACATGGATTTGCTAAGTTTAGAGTGTACTGAAGCCCTTAGGAACTAAACTTCATTGGGATTTTTGACCACCTTTTGGATATATGTCCCTATTCAGAGTATTTAATAATTTCTAAACACAAAAATTCTATAATAAGCATTTTAAATCATCTTTCTTATAAACATTCTGCTTCAAACAACATTTTAAAGTGAAGTGGGCATCAAGAGTGGGTCACATGCAGCCTACAAACCACATCTGCAGCCCCCCAAGATCCTCCGTGATATTTAAGAATCACCAAAATATGCGGTTTGAAATACTGCTAAAAACCAGTGGCACAGCTTCTCAACCTCTTTCCCAGTGTGACAGCAGATAATGTATAGTTAAACTTATTTTAACATTGACTGGGCACTGTTTTCTCCTTTTATTTTTGTCTAAAACTGCAGTTCTGCTTCTTAATTGCCTTAAGAAGTCTGCCTAAACTACAGTGTTTACTTCTTGGAATACGACTTCCTTCCACATTCAGTGGCTACTGTTTGTTACTTCCTGATCCATATTAGGCATTGTAATGTCACGAGAGAAGCACAGAGTGGGAATTCTCTGATGTTTGAACAGTCATTGAGACATGGAACAGGGAATAGGAAATTGTTGCCCATCAATGCAGAAGGAAGCAAGGAAGTAATTGTTCTGATGGAAGATTTCCACTTCAGTTAGGATACAGAACTAAACAAAACAAAAGCAGGAAACAATGTTTAATAAATAAATACATTGGAATAATTTTAAATAAGCATAAAATAACAGCAGCAAAGTCAGGAAGATGGCTGGGCAGCTATGTCAGTGATTTTCAACAGTGAATTGTGACACTGACTTTTTTTTTTCTGTTGGGAGTGTATGGCCCTTGATCTGTCAGCCAAATTAACTCTTGCCCCCCCCAAAAAAACCTGTCCACTCCTTAAATGAAGAAAAAAATCTGTCTTTTCACTGAAACTGTTGAATCTATGTGTTTTTAATGATTTAAGCTGCCTTTGTATATTCATTGTTTTTAGCTTTAAATATTGTATTTGAATGATGCAAGCCACCTTGGATCCTTTTAAGGAGAAAGGCAGGGTAAAAATATTTTAAATAAATAAAATAGATAAATGATATACAGACACTGGAAGAAATCCTGAGGTCCAACAGGTCATATAATACTCCCTTTCACAAATGGAAAGAGATATCACACATACACCCAGGTATATTCGGATACTCTGTTTTCCTTTCAGAATAACAAAATATCATCCTCTGTCTATGCCACTATAAGGCATGTTCATTTTTCTTAGCTAGAAACACTGTTTTAAATATGATGTGAAGAGGGCCATGATTCAGCCACTTAATGAATAAAACCAATATGAACAATTACTGTATATTAAATTGCCAACATCCTGATCATAATTGTTTTGAAAGGTTTGTGTGTGTGTTTTATGGAGGGAAAAATCCACCTAAAGTACAAGTTGTGCCCTGTTTGATGACAATAATCCGTTCCAGGAAAATTGCTGTTAAGCGAAATCGTCGTCAAGTGAAAAAAAACCCATTCTATTGGGGAAATACCTCATCGTCCAGCAAAGATCGCCCATAGAGAACCACCAATCAGTTGTGTAAAATTGCTGTCTTCCAAAGCAGGTGCCCAGAAAGCAGCCATTTTGCGAATGGAAGCCATTTTGCTGAACCGGAAAAACCATTGTTTAGCAAACAAATGATTCACGAAGCAGGGTCCTAATCAACGTAATGTGAAAAAAAACCATTGGAACCATCGTTTTGCAATCGCAATAGCGATCATAAAAAACTCATCATCAAGCAATTTTGTCATCAAGCAGGGTTGTCGTCAAGCGGGGCACCACTGTACAAATGAGAATTAAATGATAAGCAAGTATTCATTTATAATAATCTTGGAGCTGACAAGCTAGAAGGGACCCTATGGATCATCAAGTTCAGCCCCTGTCAAGGAAGTACAGTGGGGAATCAAACTCCCAACATCTGGCTCTGCAGGCAGACACCTCAACCACTAAGCTATCCAGCAATTTATTTACTGTATAGATTCTGTATACAATGACTGACTTTATATTGTCAGTATTCCAGTATATCCCACCTTTTCTAGCAGGTATACAGTTGAATAGTCATTGCATTCAAAGTAACAATTGTTCTGACTTCTCTTGCTTTCTCTCTATGCAGCACAAGATCTATGGTTCTTAAGCCTGTTTTGATATCCGTTTGCTCATTCTCTAGAGCTACTAATTAATGTTTCCCCAGCACTCTCTTTCTTTTAAATGCACTGGAATCAATTCCACTGAAGTGCACTCAAATGCATCCTGTGCTTATTTCTCATTCCCTGTTCTAGTCAGAGGGTGGACTATTAATGCAAGGAGGACTCTGGTTAAATGAAAAAAAAATCCTCCTAGTGTTCTCTAAGATGCCAGAGAAAGTCAAGGCACCCTAATGAGAAAAACACATTCCTGAACACAAGGAAGCATACTGTCTTTCACTTCTTTCACTCTTTTCTTTCACCATTATAGTTATTCTGTACTGATAGTATTATGATTCTCTAGGCCAAAATGAAATAAATTTGTTCCCATTCTTAATCAGATACATAAACACTGGCTGGTCTACACACCAAATGAGCACAGCTGCTGCAGACTAGTCTTAATGAATATGTCTTGCATTAACCATTCCATGATTGTTCTGCACCAGGATGTAAAGAGCTGCTAACCTGTTTTGGTGGGAAACTTCCTGGGACATTTTAATAGTGATCTAACAGGCAGATATCCATCCAGACATATTACTGGGAACACCATCGTCACTTAGATGGTTGCCTGGTATGCAATTAATGAAAGTGAGTTGCTCTGCTAAGAAGACACACACAGACACACACACTCTCTCTCCCAAGCTTGGTTTGTTTACTTTTTATCATTCTTTATTATTTGCTTCTCCCTCAAATGATACAGCTACAAAAATCAGTGGTAACCACATACAAATCCATTGCAGGCCAGATGTAGAATTTGTGTTGAAAACTGAACGTATTTTAAAATACATGTGGAGGAGAGAGAGAGGTGCAATTACAGTGCCTAAAATGCAGCTCTGTTCCCATATGAGCACCAAATGACATTTGCAGTTTGCACCCATTAAACATGATGATCACATTTCTTACCCATCTTTCATGGCAAAGGTCATGAGCATCAATCACCTCTCACTCAGAGAGAAACAGAGCATCATAATCTCAAGACAAGCACAGTGGGAAGCTGTAAGACGCATACCTTTTGATGAGGAATCACTGGCATGGGAGAGTCAATTCTTGGGGTGGCTGTTGGAACTGGAGCTGGGCGTTTTGACCTGGCGCGAAAGCAAAAAAAACCAAAAAGTTAATTAATAGCAGAGATTATTTTCCACACATATCACAATTGTACTGACAAACACTGCTAACAAAATATTGTGTTTCATATTGAGATCCCCATCATTTGTTTTTAAAAAATATTATTTATATATTTATTATAGGTGGATAAAGGTATTTGTAAAAAAAAAAGTCACACAGCGGTTTATAAATGCATACTGCAAACACTAATGAAAGTATATTATTTAAATCCTTTGTTAATCATCCATTGTTTTCAGACCAATATTCAACTGGTCTGTCTGCGGCTTGCTTGTTCTCAACATGTTGCCATATTTTCAGAAGGACCAATTAAAATAACAGAATCCTTGATGAGGAGGCTATTAAATTCCATAGGAAAATAGTAGGCTTCCTTCTTTTAGACAGAGGTCATGAGCACCATTCATCTCTCACACTCAGACATGATAGAATACCGTTACTTTCTTCTTCAGAAGTAACTGGCTGCCATTCACTCCTATGGTTCCGAACGCTGTAGTAATGAGGGCAAACCTTGCCCTCTATTCTGGGCACTGAGTATTCTCGATCTCATTGGTCATACAAAATGTCTCTATGTAAACAGCACAGAAACATGTGCTGCACCATCTAGGTTTCCAAACCCTAATTTCTCCTGTATGATAAACAGTGATCATTTCTTAGTGTCATGTAATATCAAATTCTTATGTTTCATGGCACTGATATTGCATTCTAGGGCTCCTGGCTTTTTTGTGTGGAGGGGGACAGCTTCACAACACGCAATGCATCTTGACTTTGACCCCAACAGAGTGCCATGTGGACGGGAAACTCCTTGTAGTGGTGCAACAGACTTACAAATTCCATAGCAACACATAGATTTTAAGAATATGAAATCTATATATTGCTATGACATACACTGATAAGATAATAATCTCACATGCACTAATACTGGGAGAAACATAAGATGATTGCCCTTTGCCACTAACGCATTGTTAAAGTCCTTTTTCCAGCTTGAGGCTGTCCCCATTTCCTACTTGTTTGTTTCACTTTATTTCTTAGTCTCTCTCTCCTTTCTTGACCTCACAGCATGTAGCAGACATGGAGGATGTCTCTTCCACCTGGTGGAGACTCAATTTTCCCTACTGCCTCTAACTACAGATAGCATTGGTATGTAAAGAAACCTTTTTTCTACTTTAAATTAATTCTACTGTGATTTTTAACATGTAAAGTGCCAGTCACTGTGAAAATGGGGTGGGCTACGTTCTGTGTCTAGTCACGCTGGCTACGTGACCATGGAAGATTGTCTTTGGACAAACGCTAGCTCTATGGGTTGGAAACAGAGATGAGCACGGCCCCCTTGAGTCGGGCAAGACTAGACAAATTGTCAAGGGGAGCCTTTACCTTTACCTTATTGAGATTTAAGCTATTCTGTCACACTGTGCAGTCACTGTTTGTATCTCACACTCTGCTAACTTAAAAAAACTTTCATCATTACTGCTACAGTGGAGTCTCGACTTACACGCCGCTCCACTTACATACTGGTCAACCTACGTACTTCTCCACCACAAAGTTTCACTTCGACTTCTGGCCGGAGAATCGACCTATGGACCAGAAGGGGGAGGTGAGGAAAGCGCCAAATTCAAATTTGGTGCTTTCCTCGCCTCCCCCTTCCAGTTTGTAGGCCGCAGTTCGTGGCTCCGGACGCCTTCCAGGGCTTCTCTGCCGCCACGGGAGGCATCTCAGAGGTCCCCCTCACCGCCAATAGTGCTTCGGAGGCATGGTCGGCAGTGGTGGGGAACTCCGAGATGCCTCCCATGGCGGCAGAGAAGGCATCCGGAGGTCCCCTGCCACCGCCGCCACTGCTGGGAGCCAAGCCGCACCAGGCGATCCCAGCCATGCTCGGACTCCTGGCAGCAGCAAGGAGGACAACCTCCGGATGCCTTCCAGGGCTTCTCCGGAGCGGCAGCAAGGGGGACAACCTCCAGATGCCTTCCAGGGCTTCTCCGCTGCCGCTGCTGCTGGGAGCCAAGCTCAAGAAAGTAAAATCTGTCACTGCCTCCATATCTTCCCCTTCTATTTGCCAGGAGGTGATAGGACCAGTGGCCATGATCTTAGTTTTTTTGATGTTGAGCTTCAGACCGTTTTTTGCACTCTCCTCTTTCAGCCTCATTAAGAGGTTCATTAATTCCTCCTCACTTTCTGCCACCAGAGTGTTATCATCCGCCTGTCTGAGGTTGTTGCTATTTCTTCCGGCAATCTTAATTCTGGTTTGGGATTCCTCCAGTCTAGCCTTTCGCATGATGTATTCTGCATATAAGTTAAATGAGCCAGATACAATATACAGCCTTGTCGTACTCCTTTACCAAATTTGAACCAATCAGTTGTTCCATGTCCAGTTCTAACTGTTGCTTCCTGTCCCACGTATAGGTTTCTCAGGAGATAGATAAGGTGGTCAGGCACTCCCATTTCTTTAAGGACTTGCCATAGTTTGCTGTGGTCCACACAGTCAAAGGCTTTTGCATAGTCAATGAAGCAGAAGTAGATATTTTTCTGGAACTCTCTGGCTTCCTCCATAATCCAGCGCATCACTATAGGCAATGCCAAAAGTGTACACTCCAAGCTATAAAAATGAATGTAATTTAATATGCATAAATGGAGGATGGATGTCACATGGCTTGGCAATACACATGTGAAAAGGAGCTGTGGTCTTAGTAAACCAGAAAGTAAACACACAAGAGTGTCCTGTGGTAGATGGATCAATACTGACAATCTGAGATGGCCCAGAGGGGTACAACCAAGATACAACAAATTCTTATTTTTGGGGAAAATAAGAATACAGTACAGACTCTGCCTGAAATGTAAAGCTCCTTGGTCCAAATATAGTTGGTAGCTCCAACTAGAGTAGGCCTATTGAGAGACTGGGATATGCACAAGTGTTGACTCACTAGTCAGCAACTGAGTCATTGAGTCTACTCTAGGTGAGGCTAGGACCGTGGTTTAGGCACTTGGCTTAATTGGTCTCTCATTGAGCAATGGGGAAACCCCTCTTTGTGTATCATTTTTTTAAAAAGATGTTAACAGTGTGGTTCTTTGCAAAAGCTCTTGAAGCCAGACACTCAGTCCAGTGGCTTGTTGAAACAAGAAGGCTCTTTGTGAGTGTACCGCCACCCGCAGAGCTCTGGATCTAAGCCAATGTCTTCATTTCTGTGAAAATTATAAATTACAAACATGATTATTACAGGGATAAGGATAATCCTGGCACCTCAGTCTTTCATGCCAGCCAAAGAGTGACTAAAATGGAGGCTTTTGTTGCCTTCTTCATCATCATCTGCAGGGCAAGAGAAGCACTGAATGTGCCTTTCATCAGTTTACTGATTATACCAATTTCAAGGTGCATGTTTACAAAATATTATTTGTTTCTTTTCTGTGATTTGCATTCGGAATCCGGCTCGTTCTGGGTTTCCATGGAGATTCTCCTACAGCTTTCTCATTAGGAAGAAGTTCCGTTTAATTGATCTCCTAATGTATTGCTCAACAGTAAACTGTTTAGCAATCTTTTGTTTCCGGGTCATGTTTAAAGTTCACAAATTTACATGTTGTTATTGTTATTTCAAAAAAACACCACACAACTGCCTATTTTATTAGCTTGAAAGTAATAATTAGTAGACATTTTCTTTCTTCATTTTAAATGTCTAGGCCCTCATAGCAGGTTCTCTACTAGTAAATATTTACAGCTCATGGAAACTGATGATCCGTCAGTATTGCGGCTTTTGTTTCTCTGAGCAAGCATAGAAATGATAGATTACATTTTGGTCATCAAAGATAAAAGGAAGTCGATTTCTTATTATTATTCTCCCTACCAATCCAGCTACAATTTGGAATTGGTGTGCTAAACAGAAGTCAAGGCCAGGAATTAAAGGAGAAGCTTGAACGAGCTATCACCCATGCAGTAGGAAAATATATACAGCAAACTGCACATGACATAGGAGAAATGCACATGGATCACCCAACATTATTTTCTCTTTTAAAAGGCATGCAACATGGGAGAGTGTGTTGCTGATTCAATTACATCCAATTCCCTACATTAACACAAGTGGTTATTCTGCCATCTCCTTTCACCTCTGTATTTAATATTCTCTTTTTCTCTCTATCTTGAGTTTTAATTGAATCCCCAATCTTTAAAAAAAAAAAAAAACCCACCCCTCTCTCTTCTCTCTTCCCTTCCATCTTTGCCCAGGCCTGATGTCTGTTTTCTGTCTCCTGAGAAATGTTTACAACAGAGCCCTAAAACAACAGAAGCCATAAATTACTGCATGTAAATGTAACATAAATCCAAGAACTAATCAATATTAAGTATGAAATTGATATTTGATTCAACATTTTGTTCTGTTTCCATATGTCTGATGAGGTTGAGTTACTCAAGCCCCTTCACCACGACAAGGCAGCAATCCGTGAAGGGGTATCATTCACTTAACACTGCCCAATTAATGCAGATATTGGGTACAAATAATAACTTTAGCAGCTGCATGTCTTCTTTTTTCTTCTTTTTTAATTATATTACTTCCCTGGAAACTATTGAGAGTCAAATGACATACTAAGAGAAGAGTATATTTCCTGTTATTACAATGTTTTCCTTCCATCCACACAGTCCTCTTAAAGCCTCATACCTTTTGTTTCTGTTCATGGGGTATTCTTGGCAGACATACAGGAGTAGCTTGTCAATTCCTATTCCAGGGGGATTGCATTTAGTCAGAACTCTCCACTATGACCTGTCTGTCTTGGGTGTCCCTGCACGGCATAGCCCATAGCTTCTCTGAGTTCCTCAAGCCCCTTCGCCACAACAAGGCAGCAATATCATAGGACCTCAGGGTGGATTACAGAACTATATAAAACAATTCTAAAACATAAAATATTTTAAACAATTTAAAATTAAACAACACAAAATCAAAACACTTTAACATTAAAACATCATATTGAAACTTGTACAGGCCAT